CCTCACTCAGGTAGGGCTGTGGCCGCGGTTCAAGGGCGCCGAGCGGGGCTGGGAGTTCCTGGGCGCGGGACGCGTCGCCTCCAGTCCCCCAGGGGACGAACGTGCCCTTCACCCCGCAGGAGGCTGGGGCTGCCTTTCTTAAGCCAAACTCTTCAACATGCCAACTGTTGGCTGGCGAGCATTGTCTCTTTAGGCCGGAGTTTCACTGGCCGAACTTTGAGGGGGAAAGGTAAAATTCAGTCTGTGAGCTGATTGTAGTCGAGCGAAACGTGTGTGTAGTTGGTATCCACGATGTCCAGCTGAGGGCTGTGATTTAGCGGCTGACACTTGGACTCGTTTTTCACCTGCCTTTTGGAGATGTAGTTTGTAATTGTTCTCCGCAGAGTCTAAAGACGTTTTCCAAAGCAGATGTGAGACCTGCGATCTTTTTCATCTTGTAAATTTCTTAAGAGGCCACCAGGCTCTGCGCTCAGCTTCTGGCTGTTCACAGAAGTGTGCTTAGGTGCCAGTGACTTCTCTGGGGCTCCGGCTAGGAAAGAAGCAAAAGAGAAAAAGTAGAAAGGACGAGAGGTTGAGTCAGGGGAGAGATCCGTGGACTATGGAGGCCAAGATTTTAGTTTATTGTTTTTCATTATCCACGGAGAAACACGCCAGCTATCTGAGTTGTGGTAGGTGTTTTATTTTTAAGAAGTGTAAAACAAATAGGGAGATGTGTCCTGTTTACTACTGCACAGGTCAGTACCGAGTTGTAGAACTCAGACGCATATTGAGAAGTCTCTTTGAAAAAGGGGAAGTTAGATGGGGCATGGCACCTTGAAAGACGTTATTAACCTTTCTTCTCGAGGTACCATTGAACATTCTCATCCCTCATAGGTGGCCTTTGTTTTGGAGACCTTTACTTGCTTTCCAGGTCTTGGGTAAGGAGCACTTGACTAGGAGTCATGATATCCTGGTTTTTCCAGCTGTATAACCTTAACTATACTACTTCTTTTCAGATTTCACTTATTAAACTAGTAACAGTAGCACCTATTCTCTTAGTTAAGAGGATCGAAGACTGTAAGCATTTAGGTTTTTGTAAAATGTACGGCTTTAATTGTTTTAAGGTCGTAATAAAAATTCCGGATTATCTGTCTTTTTAAGGTGGATTAAACAGAAATGTTTCCTGTTTTAGGGGTTTATAACCTTTATATTTCCTTCATCTTCTCACTTGTGAATTCTTTTTCTTTTCTTGTCCTTACACTTTCCCTCGACCAATGCTGTTTCCTACCTCCCTTACCCCAGAGTTAATAATTTTATGTCTTATCAGATCTAATTCAGAATAGTAATACTGAAATAACATACTTCCATCATTTTAATATTTAAAGATCATTTTCATTAGTATTTAATTTTTACATTGGGGCAGGTGTCTAGAGCATTGGTATTATCCTCATTTTACTTACAATGAGTTGAAATGTAGGGGTTGCTGAGGCATATGGCTGGGGGATAGGAAATGAAACCAAATGAAGTCCAGGTACTCTTCACTCCTTGCTTCTGTCTGAAATTCACACTGGTTGCTCCTTATCAGTGCTTATATTTTTAATTTTTACCCCCAATTCACATTTGTTCATTGTTTTTAAAAATAGGTTCTCAATACTTTCAGGTTGTCCTTACTTGGAGGCAAAGATTTATTTTCTAGAGCCTTTCAAAGCTTAGAGCACAAGTACCATTTGTTTACTAAGGTCTTCTGAAATGGATAATAAGCTTAGTACAATTTGAAGGTGTTTTTCCATTTCTTAAACAAATATTTATTGATGTATCCTATGCTTAAAGATTTTCAAAGTACAGGTGGAAGCACTTATGTTTTTAACTTTATCATAGTGTAAGGTGACACACATTCAATAGGAACTAGTTGGAATTTTTATCCTTTCGTGGGCTTGGGACATGTGGTACTGTACTCTGATGATGCTGGACGACAGAAGTGGCTTTACAGCTCCCAGTCAGCCACACCATCACGAGGGCAAATAGCCGATAATCCACAGTGGGCTCTGTTGCTAAGTTCTGTTTAGTAGGTTAGGTGTACTTAATACATTTTCAGTTTAGGATAGACTTAGTAGATGTAACAACATTGTAAGTCGAGAAATGTATAACATAATCTTTTTCTTCTACTTAACATCAGCCTCAACCTTGTCAAATGTGTTCATATAGTCAGCTTGTGTCCTTTTACACCCTCGATAGGATGCTGGGGCAAGTTCAGAAAATATTAGATTCTTGATTGACCTGTAGCTTCCCTGGTTCTTTGAATTTGCTTAGAGTAGTAGAGTTTTAGAATTGGGTGTGTGTGTGGTGCGGTGTTTAAGAGGTTATTTAGTCCTACCACCCTCCAAAGCAGAAATTTTTTTGTATACATTTATAAAATAATAACCCAGTCTCTTCAATAAATGAGTTTGCTAGTTTTTAAAATGTACTATTTAATTTATAAGCAATTCTGATGGTTCTTTTTTTTTGTAATGAGTTTAAATTTGCCTCTTCTGATTTCTGCCCTGTAGTCCTGATGTTTCTAGGGCAGTGTTGTCTAATAGAAATATAATGTGAGCTTTAGATGTGAGCTGCACTAATAATTTTAAATTTTCTAGTGGTTATCTTTCTCTTTTTTTTGTGAGACAGGCTGGCCTTGAATGCACCGTGATCCTCCTGCCTCAACCTCCCAAGTTGTAGTATTACAGGCGTGCACCACCACACCTGGTCAGTTATTGCTTTAAAAAAGTAAAAATGGATGAAATTAAGTTTCATATTGAATCTTTTATATAAAGTGCTATTTTAACATTAAAGTATCTCAATAAATAAACTTCGTACTAAGTCTTTGAAATGTAGTATATGTTTGGTACTTACAGTACATCTCAGTTCTAACTGGCCACGTTTGTGTGCTTAATAGGCATGTGTGGCTAGTGGTTACAGTTATTGGACAGTACAGTTTAGAGAAAAATTCTTTTTCTCTTTTCTCTACTGCTTCCTAGCCTGATACTTGGCACATACCAAGCACTACTTTTCGAGTGAATGAATACATGAGTAAAACACATGCTAGAGAATAATGAGGTAATTTTAGTTGGAAAATAAGGATTTTGCATACAGGGTTGAGTGGCTTGAATCTGTGTTAAAGATATTTTTAGACTGCGGATGTTGCTGTGTGGCAATGTTTGCCTTTCATGTGAGGCCCTGAGTTTAGTCCCTTGCACTGCAGGAAGAAAAATGTATTTGTATTATTTATGTTATATATATATTTTATTTTTGCAGCATTATGGATCCAAGTCTGCTAAGAGAACGGGAACTGTTCAAAAAACGAGCTCTTTCCACTCCTGTAGTAGAAAAACGTTCAGTACCTTCTGAGACATCGTCATCATCGTCATCTTCAAAGAAGAAGAAAGCAAAGGTAGAACATGGAGGATCATCAGGCTCTAAACAAAATTCTGGTTAGTAAAATTGTTTAGGATTGTTCAGTTTTTGTTTTAGTAAGCTAAGTTCATTTTTTAGCTTAATGTTTGTATCTCTTTTTTTGTTTTGTTTTTTGAGACAGAGTCGCATCATGCAATTCAGTCTGGCCTTGAACTTGCATTGTAGCCCAGGCTGGCCTCAAACTCTTGGTGATTCTCTTGCCTCAGCCTTGTGAGTGCTGGGATTACAGGCCTTGGATAATTCTGGCACTTTGTTAAATATAAGGGATGAGATGCTAAATGAATTTTAGATCTAAAGATGTTAATGGTCTTACTTACGTTCAGAGAAAATTTTGATTATTATCTCTAAAACATAGTGAGGTTTAGTTTACATAGCAAACAGATTAAGTGTACAATTTGATTATTGTTTTTTCTTTTCTTTTTTCATGGTACTGGGAATTGAATTGAGGGATAGTCCAACACTGAGCTGGATCTCCAGTCTGTTTTATTTTATATTTTTCGAAAGGATTTGTCTGAGTTATACAGGCTACCTTTGAACTTCAGTCTCCCGAGTAGCTGGAATTATAGGCTTGTGCCACTATGCTTGACCAATTCTTTTTTTTCTTTTTTTTGGTGCTTTTGAGAAGGGTCTCACTATGTAGTTCAGGCTGGCTTTGAACTTGCTGTGTAGCCCAGGCTGACCTGAACTCTCTGTAGTCCTCCTGCCTCAGCCTCTGAGGGCTGGGATTATGGGCATGTGCCACTGCACCTGGAAGATTCAAATATTTTAGATATTTGATTAAATATTTTAATATTAATCTAATTAAATCTAATTTTAATATTTAATATTTTAATATTCAGAATTTTCATCCCCAAAAGACCCTGTACGTGTTCATTTTCAGTAACTGTTCCTATCCCCACCCAAAATAACCAATAATCTTTTTGTCTTCATATTTGCCTTTTCTTTAAATGGAATATCCGTAAATCAAGTGGCCTTTTGTGGTTTCTTTCACTCGGTATGTTTTTGAGTTTCTTCTGTGTTGTATGATATGTCAGTACTTCATTCCATTTATGGCCTAAGAGTATACCATTGTATGGATATATTAAAATTTATTCACCATTTAATTGATATTTGGATTATTACTGTTTTTTACTATTTTGAATAGTGTTGCTGTGAACATCATGTACAAGTCTTTGTGTAGACTTGTTTTTATTTCTCTTGGATAGAGACTTAGGAGTGGAATTTCTGGGTAATACAGTAAAATTTTTTTAAAAATATTATAAATTTTTAAGTTTGTAAGAAACTACCTAAATGGTGATTGTACCATTTTACATTCTCAACAGGAATGCATGATAGCTTCATTTTTTTTTTTTTTTTGCTACCGGGGATTGAACTTGGGACCTTGCGCTTGCAAAGCAGGTGTGGTTCCACTCAGCTAGATCCTGGCCCAGTGATTTCATTTTTTTCTCATCCTGTCAACACTTTTACTGTCTTTTTGATCTTACCCATGCCTAGTGTGTGTGAGGAGTATCATTGTGTTTTTAATATACATTTCCCTATTGACTACTTGTGTAAACATTGTTTCATGTGCTTATTGACCATTTGTGTAATTTTCTTAAAATGTTTCTTATTCATATTTTTTGCCTTTAAAAAAATTGGGCTGTTTTCCTATTGATTTTGACCAACTCTTTTTTAGTTGCTGGTACGAGGGATTGAACTCAGGCCCTTGTGCTTCCGAGGCAGGCTGCAAAACCACTGAGCTAAATCCCCAGCCCCGATTTTGACCAATTCTTGATGATACATTCTTGGTACAATTCCTTGATGTGATTTATACTACATAGTGATCAAAATACATGATGAATGTTTAAAAATACATTACAGTATATATGTATATGTATGTGTGTGTGTGTATCTATATATCTATATATCATGAGGTATGATGAAAAATAGTCATTGATGCTGAGAATGGCCATCTAACAGAAAAATTTAAAACAGCATGTGTCCTCATCTACCTTATTTCATTAATTCTGGCCCTGAGTGATTTCTGGCCCTCCCCCAGAGTCAAAATGACCATGAAAGGTAAATGTTTTAAATCAGTTAGGCACATCAAGGCAGCCATGGCACTCACAAAAATAGGACTTTCAGAACTGAATCTAAAAGTGGCAAAGACAATGGGATAGTTGTTTGAGCCAAGAGGGAAGTATTTTGAGGGGAATTATGGTACTGTAATGATTATAATTAAAATATTCACCATATTTTCTATCATTTTGAATATTTGCAAGTGTCTTCTTCAAACTTGTGCTTGTCTTTCTTTTTTTTTTTTTTTTTTTTTTTGGTACAGGTGATTAAACTCAGGACCTTGGGCTTGTGAGGCAGATGTGGTGCCACTGAGTTAAATCCCTGTCCCAAAGTTTTTCTTTTAAATTTTGGTAAACCCCAACTTTATTTATTTATTTATTTTTTAAAATTTTATTGAGTTTATTGGTACGTTTTAGGGATACAGTACAGTTACATTCATTGTTGGGATAATGTACCTCTACATGGCAAGTCTTGATTCTCATTTTTTCCCCTTACCTCTGCCCTCCCCTCACCTCCTCCTCCCCTCCCCATCTACAAACACTTTATTTTCATCTTTTCATTCTCTCACATTTTTTTCTTTTCCCTTTTTGTTCTTCCCCTACCCATCACACCTTCCCTGCACCTTTAGCTCCTTTCTTCCCATTTCTAAATGTCTAATGTAATCTTATTAGAATCTTATGCATTGTTGCAGAATATTCACACCAGGGAAACTATTTGGTATTTACACATGTGTGACTTATTTATTTCACTTAGGAGTATATCTTCAATATGTATCCATTTTCCTATGAATGAATCTATTTTCTCGTTCTTTATGGCTGAGTAATATTCCATTTTATAGAAAAACCACAACTTCTTTATCCAGTTTCCAATGGATGGGCAAATAGGCTGTTTCCAAGATTTAGCTATTACAAACTGTGCCACTATAAACATGGGTGCACATACTTCTCTGGGATATGATTCTTTTAGTTCTCTTGGAAAGATACTCAGCAGAGAGATGGCTGGGTCCAATGGAACCTCCAGTCCAAGCTCTTTGAGGTATCTCCATATTGATTTCATAGTGGTTGCACCAGTCTGCACTCCCACCAACGATGGAGAAGGGTTCCTTTCTCCCCACAACCCCGCCAACATTTGTTATTGTGTGATTTCTTGATAGTAGCCATTCTTTGTGGGGTGAGGTGGAATCTCACTGTTTTCATCTGCATCTCTCGAATGACCAGTGATGTGGAACATTTTTTCAAATATTTTATTGCTGCTTTTACTTCTTTGTCTGAGAAATGTCTGTTCATTTCGGATGCCCATTTTTGAATCAGGTCTTTATATTTGGGGGGACTGATTGTTTTGAGTTCTTTATCCTTGATAACAGTCCTTTGTCTGAGGAACAGCTGGTAAAAATTTTTTCCCACATTGTAGATTGTCTCTTAGTTCTGCTGATGGTTTCTTTTGAAGTACAGAAGCTTTTTAGTAATATGAGATCCCAGTTGTTGATTCTTTCTGCTAGTTCCCGTGCTACTGAGGATTTGTTCATAAAGTCTTTTCCTATACCAATGTCTTCCAGAGTTCTGCCTAACTTACCTTCCAGCAAGTTTAATGTTTCTGTTTTAATATTTAGATCTTTAATCCATTTGGATTTTAATTTAGTGCATGGCGAAAGATAAGGGTCTAATTTTAATCTGTGGCAGGGTGACATCCAGTTTTTCCAACACCATTTATTAAAGAGGCTATCTTTCCTCCACTGAGGATGGTGAGCTCCTTTGTCGAAGATGAGGTAGCTGAGTACATCTGCATTTGTTTTTTGTGTCTTCCAGTCTGTTCCACTGATCCTCAGGCCTATTTCTTTGCCAGTACCATGCTGTTTTTATCACAGTGGCTTTGTAGTATAGTTTCAAATTGGGAATTGTTACACCTGGTGCCATGTGACTGTTGCCTATAATGGCTTTTGCTATTCTAGGTCTCTTGTGGTTCCAAATGAATTTTTGGATTCTTTTTTCTAGTTCTGTGAAATGTAGTGTTGGAATTTCAATTGGCATTGCATTGAATGTATATAGCAGTTTTGGTAGTATGGCCATTTTCACTATGTTGAGTCTTCCTACCCAGGAGCAGGGGATATCTTTCCATTTTTTTATATCCTCTTCGATTTCTTTTTTCAGAGTGCTGTAGTTTTCAGTGTAGAGATCTTTTGTTTCTTTTGTTAGATTGATTCCTAGATACTTCATTTTTTTGGATGCTATTGTAAAAGGAATTTTTTCCCTTATTTCTCTTTCTGTCTGTCTGTTATTTGTGTATAGAAAGGCTATTGATTTCTGGGTATTCACCTTGTATCCAGATACTCTACTGAATTTGTCAATTAAGTCTAGAAGTTTTTTGGTGGAGTTTTTTGGATCTTCAATGTAGAGTATCATATCATCAGCAAATAATGATAGTTTAACTTCTTCCTTTCCTATCTTTATTGCTTTAATTTCTTTCTCTTGTCTAATTGCTGTGGCTAATGTTTCCAGAACTATATTGAAGAGAAGTGGTAATAGTGGGCATCCTTGTCTTGTTCCTGATTTTAACATGAAGGTTTTCAGTTTTTGGCCGTTCAATATGATGTTGGCTGATGGTTTTTCATAGATAGCCTTTATTAAATTGAGGTATAGACCATCTACCAACTTTCTCTTTTTAATGTGTTTGGTGTTTTTTTGTTTTTTTTTGTGTGTTTAAGACAGGTTCTCACTATGTAGTTCAGGCTGGTTTTGAACTTACTGTGTAGTGCAGATTGTCCTTGAACTCACAGCAAACCACTTGCCTCAGTCTCCTGAGTAGTGGGGTTGATTACAGGGGTGCACCACTGTGCCTGACTTTGACTTACTGTTTTTTTTCCTCTTTTAACAGTTATGTTCTTTGTGTCATATCAAAGATGTCTTTACTCAATTCAAGGTTGTCAAAGTTTAATTCTGTGTTTTCTAGTTTTAGCTTTTTA